CTTACTCGGAAGATAAGTTTGACCTAGGAGAGACCTTCACAAAGCTTTTCGAAGTTCTCCTAGGCATAGAAAAGTAATATGAAACGGGGAGTTTTGACTTAGACTGCACTTGAGACTTACATTCATTATGCATATCGGCAAGTAGATGGTGAAAAGTAATAGAATATTAGAACTATTTACACTCGGCACTAACCGGGTTAAGGTGATACTGTTGTGTTGCTATATTTGATCAAACTAGCGTACACTTATATCCTAGTACTTCTTCGCGTTTATAATTGTGTCCTAACGTTGTGATTACTGGACATCCACAACGTAAATCAAAAGGCACTTGCGAAGGAATAAGATCGTGTATTATCGTAGTTATCAAAATTCAAAAATTGAGCGGGTACAAAAGTATCATTTGTTAACACGCAATCTTTAGAGTGATAAACAAATCAAAGTCCAATTACATAGTGAAAGTATACTACGATGATGAGTAATAAAATGGGTCACTACAATACAAGCGTCTATTACAACAGTGTAAATGATAAGAACCACCCAAACAAAGTCATCATATTATCAGGTAATTACGGACCCCACCATGGGGATCAAAGAAGCTATTTTATGAGGAAGTGAAAACTGGAGTGGATTTTCATTCCCATTATCTTTGAACTGAAACTTCTTCCCAGCGGTCATTGCTACCACACCTTCAGTGGGAAGGTCTAGACACGGACTGTGAAATCATGCAAACCGTATCCAGATCACTCTCTCCTAGATCAAAATGAGAGTAAACACTCATGTACCATAATTTATCAATCAGTTGCAAACTAAACTGGTCGATGATCCCTGCACTGTCCTTATCGTCTTAGTCATTTGCTTATTCATTCATTTACCAATTTTCAATCCAGTTATCCATTTGTTTTATACCGAAATGTTTGCCATTAATTATATTGGTATTACTTTTATTATTGCTTTGCTTTTCGACCACAGTGGGTGGCAGATGGGAGAAAGGACTAACTCCGATTACAGTAACACCACAGTTTCAACACATTACATACTATGAAACCAAAATAAAAAACCACCCATTCCACCCCACCAGAGTCTAAAGACTCTCGTTTCTCTTGTTGCGTGTTCTATTTGACTAAATTAGCGTACACGTATTTCTTAGCACTTCTTCACGTTTATCAATGTGCGCAGACGTTGTGGCTACTCGACGCCCACAACGTAAAATCAGAAGGCACTTGTGAAGAGTGTAATCTTGTATTATAGCCGTAGTCAAATTTCGAAAATGTATCAAGGTAACGTTCAACAGTAAATTGACAAATGTTTACGAAGTACATATAAAATCGGTATGTGTAAACATATAATATGAGTATGCAAATTAGATTAAAAACGTATGTTTATAGTTGGTATAGGGGTACTACACTCTCTTGTAAGGAGTGTTTAGGTAGATTAGATTCCTGCAGTCGTGTTAGCTGTTGAATGGTGAAATCATATTAGCATTGCGTTTCTAAATTAAGGTTGCTAACTCTTACTACATGTTTTTCCCTCTGGAACCGATCATTTGCGAGGAGATCATCCTAAAATTTAAAATCCACCTTCAAGTCGTGTACACTAGAAGTTCTTCTCTAACATAAAAGTGTGAACCAGTGGAATCCTACAAAAAGTCACTTCGTTCTACAGTCTGTTTATTCATTTGAAGCACGACTGAATCTCCAGTGTACAGCTAAATGGAAGTAATGTGGCGACCTGAAAACATATCAAATTATATGTTCACGGAAAAAAGGAAGGAATTCAACCTGAAACCTTGAACCGCGCGCAAGGAACGAATCGTTCGCCCTCTCTCCGGCTGCTCGCCCAGCACATCTGCTGACCAACGCTGTCTCGCACTGGTTGACACATCCCCTTCGAGAACTTCGCTCCTATCTGCCTTACTCTACGTGGAGACTTCCGACGGGGGACAGCGCTAAGTTGTAGTGGAGAATTTGTATAATCAAGAGAAGGACAATTACATTCCTATAATTTCGTACGTCTATAATTTGTGTATTTTGTGACTGTTATAGTTTTCTTCAAATAACCTCAGTCCCTTTTTTGTGTATATTAACTTAAGTGAACCGAATATTTTATATATACGTATTTGTTAGTACTTGTTCTCTCCTTTTAATTGCGTTTATATACTTACCTAGCTACTAGGTCCACTACAAATGGAAGTATTGATATACGAGTGACATCCTTACTAATATACAAACTTTATTAAAAGGCTTCATGCACAGACTACAAGCTTCGTTCAAAACACTTATTCTCTATTTGGCAACATCTTTTTTTAAATATTTAACAGAAGTTATAATGCAAGTGAAAAGTGTAGAACAACAAAGATTCAGATTAAGTCTATGCCAACAAAAAAAATACAAGGGTTAAAGATGGCACTGAAGCATCAACAATGTATGTTACAGTAAATAAATATTGTAGTTCAAGATATAAAAATCTCTGGAACTCTATGTGTTATCACGGTTTATACGTTCACTAAATAATTTGGTTACAAATGTAGCTAGAAATGCAAACATGGCAAAAATAAATGTAAATGTTAACATTGTCCAAATTAAAACAGTATGTGACTGATACAAAATTTCTTCCTACAATGAAAACAAAAAGGAAGGTGTTTGCATTAAAATATACACGTCACTCATTACTTACAACTTAGTAACTTCATGAGTAGTGTACTATGACTAAATAGTAATAGTTTTCAAATAATTTGTACATTATGCCACATGATAAAATACTAAGCTACTAATTACAAATGTATTGATCGGTGTCTACTGAACAAGTATATGCTGCAGATTATTAGGCTGACTAGTGCAGCATTGCAGTGGTGTGCAGTTAACTTATTCTGAGGTCTGAAATCAAGAGAAAACAGTGAGAATGAAAATGCAAACCTGCATTTCATGCATGCTGGTGTACCTCAGCAAGAGCAGTCAACGCTTTTGAAGAAGTCTGTATTATCTTTGTAGCAGTTGTTAGGAATATAGATAAAAACAGACAACTTTGAAAGCCCTGTCGGAATAATTCTATCACGAGAAGACATTGCTGATTTTAAAAATCTACTTGGAAGAGTAAATCAATAAAAATGAGTTTGATCAGCATAACAATAGTAAAACTTAGCCTCTAGTAAATGAACATCAAATCCGATAATAATTCTTTAACTCTAACTCTAAACCATAGTCTAACACCAATCCCAGCGTTAACTCTAATTGTAGCCATAAACATAACATCTGATTAACTATAAGCTTTAATCCTTTCCGAACACTAATTCTAAACCTAACCATAGGCAAACTTTATACTGTCAACGAGCTATTTGAATTACTACTGAACTCATAAAAGAATGGATCTCTGCTTAATAACAAGCATTAGTCCCTCAACAGATATTCTGTCATGTTTTTCCCTAATCTTATATATGACATCTTTGGCGAATGTGGTTTTTGATGATACCTTTTAAAATCCGTTTATTTAAAGTAAGCTTTCCTAATAGTGAAACTCATTATTCATTTAAGTCAGTATCTACTCGAATTGCCACGTGTTTAAAACCTTATTTGGAAGTAACGATTAGTTGAATCAAATAGGTGTCTAGCACTAACTGGTTCGATACTAGGAAATAACCAATAAAATAATACAAGTTGACGTTTCCTGTAAGTATCAGTTAGTGTTATGCTAATAACGACAGTAAGAGCGACAATGGCATACTGTTTTCCACAACTAAACGAATCATGCCATATTGTTCAACTCTACCAGAGAACCTATAGGTTGTATGGTATACTTATTGTGAATCGCCGTCCTCAGTGACCGTGGCTTTACATTTCAAGGAGAACCAATTTCTTCATGACTGTGAATTCGCCTTGTTTATGAATATCATTATACAAAACTCTTAGATTTATAACTTCTTGTTATTCACCTCCTAATATTGGATATTGCGTCAAGTTCTTGGAACTAAAAATATCTATTTTGACATTTCCACAGCATGATCGTCAAGTAAATTGAACTGCATTGTAATCTCTGCTAACATTTCAGAAGTCATAATACTACTATTTTCAGAAAGTTATTTAAATCGGAAATAAAACATCCATAAAAAGGTTATGAGAAAAACAGGCATGAGAAGACCTTATATTACATATCAGAAAGTTCTAGTTACATCAGCTAGTATCGTGTAGCTGGAATCTTCTGCCACGTCACTAGATTACAGATATGCTCATTATCAAAACTGGACATCATGTAATCCTGTATTATATTGTTTAAGTGATAAGTTTACTTACAGGCTGACTAAACCTAAAGTCTCGGTTTCTCATTACTATCACTTGAGGCACCAAATACTTTAAGGGACACTGTCTTTATTGACTGAGAAGTAGTGTTAAGCTTCGTATGTGGGGAACAGTCTAATTGTATTCACAATTTTTAGTATCAAAAGCATTACAGCGTAACTTTGAAAAAAAACATGAAAAATATTCAGTAATAAAAACTTATAATAATTAGAGACATTTATTGTTAAACGCACATGTCTGAATCAATTTAATTTAAGCAAGTCGATTAGGAATGAAATTACGAATGAGAAGACTATGGTCAAGAGATTAGAATCCTTCAATGTAAGTAAAAAGAAAAGAATCCCTGAGTGAGTTGACAACAACTACCTGTAAATCTGAGTGGCATGTACACAAAGTACGTCAAGTATTTTAGCAGCATCTGAAACTCATACATTTGATATATTTCGATACATATTTTTTGTTTCGCAGCTGGGGGTTTCTTTCAGCTAAATTTTACTTAATTATACAGTTCTGAGGTAAAACTGTAAGACTTGAAATTATAATCTTGCGTTTAATAAACAATGTCATTTAAACTGTAACAAAAAGAATCGAAATGGCTTTCGCTAGTCTTCTTTGTTTCGTAGTGAATCCTACATAATCATATGTCAAACCTAAAGAGTCAACACTTTCATAAATGTAATGGTCCTAAAGACTAGTCAGAAACAAACGTACCACTTGTCCTGAAAGTTGCGATCTTTGCACAGCTCGAGTTCCCGAAGCCAAATAGAGGTGACGATCACACGGTCGAGGTCTACATCCCCGGTATTCATACTGACGCCAAGTAACTTCAGTTTTATTGATAAATCCGCGGAAACCAGCCATACGATCTATTTCTGCATTGCAGTCAGAAGCTTTACTTAAACAATCTCTGTATCGGCTACGTTGTCTCATTCCCCATCTGCCAGTACCTACTCCGTATTTCCAATTTTCTGGAACATGATTTGGAGGAACTTCTGTGAACGATGACTGACATGAGGGCTCACAAAATGACCATGATGACCACAAAGACCAGACATTTTTTGACACAGGAAAACTGCATCGTTCACCTCTCCATCCGTCATCACATATACAACGGGCTATCAAATCTGGTTGATTTCCAAACCACGAAAATGTCACACCTTTACGCTTGGCTTTCTCTTCTTCAATAGAGCCAAAGTCGCTCTAATAAGTTTACAAAGTAATATCAGTGAAACTTGTTAGTACAGGTATGGAACTGAAATAAAACATACAAAGGTTACTAACAACTAACCAACTTTTTAAATTAATCAGTGAAAACCTTGCAAGTATTCATCCTTTATGACTAAAATGTCAGTTATTTGTAAATCCATCAATTTGAAAAACGGAGTTCTCAATATGAATAAAGACCTCATCTAAGTAGCTTAATAGTGAAGTATGTGGCTGAAGCATTCATCGAAGCAGGTAAAAATTTCTGAAAGTAGATGAATGTCATTAGGTATGCATATTGCTTTACAACTAAGTACCAATAAGACTAATATAATTATAATTTTATTTATTTATAAGTCAAAGGGAGAATTACTGTGCAAATTATTCCTAAATATACATAGAATAGCTACAAATACATAGACAAGAGCTGTCTGTACCTAATAACATTACATAAGTTCTATCATACTAGCAACTAGTGTATATTTCCTTCGTATATGTGCTCAAAATACACTCAAAAAGTGGCCAAAGTCTTTATTTTTCAAAGTAATACTTCTATAATACTAAGTAATTTATTCAAGAGGAAACATGTCTTTACTACTGATAAAGCCTAAGGAGGACGTTTACAGAAAATTCTAAACCAAATACTAGTGAAAGAATAACTCCAGTTTTAGTATTTAGTCAGTTTTATGTAATTAAAATATTTCCTGAGTCATTTCCATAAAATGAATGTAAACAGATTAGCAATCAGTACTCAATAAGTTATAATATTTTATTGTTGTTATTGCATATCTCATCAGTCGCTTGTATTCACTTGACAAGGATCAGCCTATATTGTGTACAGGCTAATAATACTGTCTGGATATCCGCACCTGTAACATAGAGGGCTGTTCCAGGCTGTTGGCCATCGAGTGGAAGTGGAGTCTCTAAACCAGTGTGTCACAATTTCAAATAGGTTATAATGATTTATATATGTCCAAATCAAGTTCACTTTTAAGGGTTTGAAAATATTTGGGCACTGAGTATTTGCTATTCATTATAATAAAAATTTTTGTTTTCCCGATGAATGATAAACAAAACAATATTGTTTTTACTGACGTTTCGCTATTTGGTGCTGACGGCTTTATTAAAGTATTATTATACGGGAATATACAAAATCTCAGCTTATATACAGCAACTTAATCATCGTTCATCAAAATGAGCTAGCGTTTTCATTGAAACATCAGACACACTGCGAAGCAACCTGGTACATATGAAAGACCAAATCCCTAAAGATTCTCTATCTAATTGTGTCTATGAAATAAAATCCTTGGAATGTGATGCGATATACATCGGACAAACATCACCAGAAAGAAATCAAAATCAGAAGAAATGAACACCGTAGAGCAGCCTTTGTTTGACCACCGAGAAATCCAGTTGAACTAGAAAAACTTGAAAAATCATCAGCCACAGGGAGTCTACACGCTATAGAATCAAACCACAAAATTGATTCTGACAATATTGAAATAATCCAGAAAAACTTCAGGAATCACAAAGAACGTCTAATATCAGAAGCACTTCATATCAAGTGGAATCCAAATTGTCTGAACAGGAATGATGGACTAAAACAGAATCTGACCTGGTTACAACACTCCCCTCCGTCATGAAACGACAAAATCAATACGAATGTGATAAGCAATTTCATTATGTAAGCACACACTACTTTTATAATGTTACACACTGATCAAATCCAACAATCTACACTTGGTTTTGTTATCTCTACCAATTGACCAACTTGACGACGAAATATGATCCCATGATAATGAACGATGATTAATTTGTTATACATAAGCTGAGATTTTGTAAACTATAGATTAATGATACTTTGATAAACCTATTGGCAGCATTAAATAGCGAAATGTCATTAAAAACAATATCATTTTGTTTTTCATTCATTGGGAAATACAAAAGCTTTTATAAATAGGTTGTAATGAATTTGCCTGTTGTCTTCTCGCCAAAAAAAACACTATCTACAATGACCTTATTCCCAAAATGGTACATTGATCAATACGTTCAAGTAGTGTGAGTTAGGTACAATACCTAGAAAGTGTTCAGACTACTATAAAATGAAAATGAGATCAATATTTCTTCAGAAATTATTAGAAAATTCTGGAGAGAACCAATGCTAACCGCTGAAATTCAATCATAATAAATAACTGAATACAAGAAGTAATAAAAGTGATCCTGTTAAAATGAAAGTTGGAAATACAGATCTGAGTAAATAATTTATCATTTATGAGGAAGCAGTAGAAAGAATCAATACCAATGACTTTTAACATAAACAACTTGTCATTAGTTTCTGTGTTACAATAAACAGAAGGATCATACATTTTCAACAAGAAGATACCTTGCCATAAAAGCTCTATTAAACTCCAAAATTGCCTTTTAACATTAATGTTCATATTAGAGTGTGTTCAATAGGTAAACAATGAATAAGTCAAACTGCCAGTGTGATTCCTTTCTTTTGCATATATTATTCAAGCGAATCTCTGTTGGCTGGTAAAACATTAGATAATAAATACAATTTCAGTGGGAAGAGAATAATGCATATCTGATTATCTGTTTTATAATAGATTCATTTCAAAATAAGGCTGATAACCAAACAATTCAACTTTTTTTTAGGAAACGTTTACAATTTTCTGTAGTGTAGTGAAGATCTGTATTTATAAGTAACAGAATATTCATTTTCGATAATGACTACGAGTTTGCTTCTGATATGTGCATTTTTCTCTGTTTGACTGTAACGACAAAACACATTGGTATTTGGTCAAATAATATATAATGATATTAGACTGTTGAAGGCAATCGGAAGGAAGCTTTGGACACAGGTTTCATGCTAGTTGGCACTCACCAGTCAACAAAGCGTTTCTGCAACCTCGTAGGAACTCATGTCCTTTCTGAGAATCAAACTATTATTCAATCAAAAATATACAATACAGTCAATCAGGAGCCAGAATAGATCAGTGGTAACGTCAGCAATGGGTGATGCGGGTTCGAACCTCAGGAGTGACAAGAGTTCCTTCAAGGTTGCACATACGCCTTGCTGACTGGTGAGTGCCAACCAGCACGAAACGTAGGTGGAAGGCTTCCTGCTGATTGTCTCCAACCATCTAATGCCAACAATTCAAATTGTACTGTGATGGCGAGCCATCTAGCATGATGGTCACATTGCAAAGCTGACTGATAGAATTCAGTCTGCACCGGACAGAGAACTAGACAAATTTCACTAGTCACTGACTAGAGATATACAATGATGACAGAATATAATATAAAATAATAATCTACTTTATTCCATAAACAATACTTACAATAGAGAATGAAATTCTCAGCATTAATCACAATGTTGCATCTGATTCACTCAAAATATAAATAAAATTAAAGCAAAATTAACCAGAGTAATTCGTTCACAATTACGGTACAGAGACAAAAATATTCGAAGTACAAAATGAGACTAATAAATATAATAATAGTAGTAGTAATAATAATAACAATAACAGTGAGTTTGTTTCAAACATTATTGTCGATTCAGTTTGGAAATTTTAGCGTGTTATAGATTTTTTAATCTTATGTTCTGTTGATATAGTACAGTGAGAGGAAAGGCAAAATTAACAGTTATAACACAGCTTAAATGATGTTAACACTTCTGAGAAAATAAACAAATAAAAACAAAAATTTTAGAGGATCATAAATATAAGAGGAACAATAACAATAAAGCTTAATGTTATTTTTGCAAAAACGTGGCAGTAGCATGCATTTAAGAAGCATCATATAAAGTAAAGGTTGAAGAAAATGAGCTGCCATCTAGCATGTATAAGTTATTAGTGCCTTAATAAAAAAATAATAACTGAAGGTATGGAATAGGTCATTCAAGAAACTCAGATTTTGCGTTAACTAGAATTTAGACCTTTTATTCTAAGTTATTGAGTACCTTATCAACGTACCGCATACCTTAATCTCGAAATTGCTAATACACTGACTTCAAACACAAATCAAGGATAAAACAATACACGCTTTCTAAATTTAGTTGCTAAGCTTCAAAAAACCCGTGATATGAAAATTGAGATCAAAGTTACCGTGTACGAATCTCTATATCATAATGCAGTCAAAATAGTCCAATTTAATGGAATAAATGAATCAGAAATTAGACACATAACAACACCTGTTTATCCATAAGTTAAATATTATTCACTCCTTCTGAATTACCATAATCTCAACTTAAAAGGTTTTCTCGTTTAACAAACATAGATATTTTTAAATAATGGAAAGGATTTTAATCTCAGCTGGATGTTTTTAATGTTACTGCGTCCTCTGAGACTGGCTGTTTAAGTGAGAAGCCTTCTTCTTTCTTCTAGACAGCATCTGCAGTGCTAACTTCAATGTTAAGTAAATATTTTGAAATTCTATATGAATGACATAACCTTGACTATGATTTGTTGTCAATTTGCATAGGTATCGATCTTTTCAAAGACCGGGAATTCCACCATTTTGTTATGCGACTTGTTTTTTCTTTGTTGATAATTTCAATCTACATTGGTATGCATGTAGACTATTATCAAAGACAGTTATGTAAACAGCAACAACACTAAAAACGCCAAAGTATCCCAAGAATCTTGGCACTTAGATAGATCTTCACTTAATAGGTATACCAAAGTAGGACAATTTTATCAGCCAAAAAATACGTCAAATCCCGAAAAAGGTGAGGTTTCCGATCAATGAAACTATCTATGTCAACACAAATAAACAACAAATCACAGCCAGGGTCATCAGGAGAGACAGTGATATCATCCATGCAGAATTCAGAAATACTCACTTTACATAGAAGTTAAAGTTGCAGATGTTGTCTAAAAGGACGAACAAAGCTTCTAAGTCAAACCACCCATCTTAGAGGACACGGCCTCATAAAAATCTTAGGTACTCCTCGTTATATGTATATACATTTGAAATTAACGAAACCGACCAAA